GGAGGGCACTGATGGCAGTTAAGTGACTGATCTGTACCTCTTTTGCAGGGTGTCTTTCCCTCTTTCTTCTCCACCCTTACTTATGGTCCTTCTCCAGCCTCTGGCTGGGGCCGAGCCACATGGGCCCAGATTTCCTTTCCTTGCTCTGGGCCAGGTGTATGTGTGAGCACACCTCTTACCTTTGTTGCTCACGCCATTCCCCTGCAGCAAATCCCCTCTCCCTGTCCTTCACCATCACTCCTGAAGCACCTGCACCAGTCACCATGCACCTCCTTGAGGCTTTCTCTCTCTCTTCTCTCATTTTTTAGCTGCTGGTAAATGGTAAATGCAGGCTGTCCTGCTCCCTGTCTTCTGTGCTTCTGGGAGCAGGAATCCCATTAGGATAAAACCCTATACAAAGCAAGTAGAAAGAGTCTTTCTAGATGGGATGCTGCTGCTCCACTGTCCTGGATGCCTTCCTGCACCCTGGGGCTTCACCAGCACCAACTGGCTCAAGCATGGCAAGGCTGGGGGGACAGCAGGTGTCATTGGTGCTGGAGTGGAGCAGCTTCTGGGCATCTGTCCCAGCTCAGTGTGCATTGCTTGGCTCAGGCAGTGGTGGGATCAGAGCACTGAGCTTCCTGGCACTGTCCCTGACAGGCAGTGGTGACGTGTGCTGCTGAGGCACAGCCCCTGCTTCAGAGCAGTCTGTTACCAATAAATGTGGCTCTTACATCAAGCAAGGGATGCACAGGGAGCTGCAGATGAGCTTAATGAATGGAAGAAAATAAGCAGCATGATTTAGTACCTTATTCCACATGGACATGGAGTGTGTTTCCATGTGCTACAGGCAGAGTTGCCCACTGGCACTACCACAGTGCCATCCTCAGATCCACAGCCTCATTGCGCTCCTCTTCCCCGGGCTACCCCCCAGCTCCCTGCTCTGCTTCTTCAGCTCTGGATTTCAAGAGCTACAACCCACAAAGCAGATCTCTTTCTGTTACTTTGGCTTTTCTTGCTGGCTACTTTCTCATCCTATTGAAACTAGTCTCCATCATGCACCCTGGTCCATGAACAAGGAGCAGCATCCTCTTAGCTCTGCACCTCCACAGATGTCCTCACTGTCCCTCTGCTGCCACCCCCCTCCCTCTCATTTGCATGGTTACCTTATTCTCTCTCTTGTCATCAGCAGCTCTGGGTCTTCACACTTCACATGTTCAGAATCCGTCCATCTTAATTAACCACTGAGAGGAGCTGCGTTTGCCAAGCTCAGAGTAACAACTTATGTTGGTGCTGTAGCAAGAGCAGTTAGAGCCCAGGATGGCTCCTCCTACCTGTAGCTGTTAGGATCGTGTTAAGCAAGGCCAGCCCTGGAATGGGTTTCCCTGCTGACAGGGTGTGTGATATGTACCCAAGGCGTGCACATATTTATATTCATCACCTACTCATCCCTGGCAAGGTCCTGTTTGCCAGTGTTCTCTCTGTACAGTGGGGTTTCTGTAGTCACCTGCCAGCAAGTCAGGGAGACAGATCTGCAGCAAAAACTTCTCTGAAGAGCTGACCAGTCGGTGCTGATGCTTCTGACAGTCTTTCTGCTGCATTGCTGATCAAGGTCCACGAGCTGTGAGAGCAGGATGAAACTGTTCCTCCTGCTCTCTGCACCCTTCAGTGCTGGGGGTGTCATGCAGGGCTGGACTGAGCGGGCTGGCTGCCTGCCCACACCACTTTCTGCTGGTGTGCAGATGAGCAAAGCTGCAGGCCAGCCCGTGTCCCAGCTGGTCTTGTGGCACCTCTGGAAATGCTGATGTTTCCAAAAGCTCTGCCAGCTCCCAGGAAATGGACATGCAATCAGATATACTGGTGCCCTGTTTTTAAGATTTGCTGATGGACACTTTTTCTCTCCAGCTCATAAACTTTCAGCCTGACAGCTGCGTTCCCAGTTGAAGGTGACTGAGAAAGCTGTGATTCCCAGCCTTCCATGGGTAAAGGTAGTGCCTTGGGCATCATGGAGGTGTGGGTGGCCATGCAGGTTGGGCTCTCACCTTTGCACCATCAGCAGTCATGCTGGGGGAAGAGGGCTGAGCCCCAGCCAAGGTGTACTTGGGTCTGCATCCTTGGGCTGTTTGCCTGGACAGCCCAGGAGCAAGACGGGGATAGGCTCCTCCTTGACAGGGAATGCCACTGGAGATTTTCTTGTAGCAGTAGGTTTTTTGAGCGAACCACAAGGCTATGATGTCCCCATGTCACGTGTGTTCCCCCCCGTGTGTCGTAGCATCCATTTGGCCCATCCTTCAGCTTGGTGGTTGTGAAATGAATCCATCTGTTCTAAGATGTTCTCAGGAGTTCTTGTTTGTATTAAGCTCACCCCTAGGCTTAGCAGAAATCACAGTCCCCATCCTCCCTGCTCCCCTCCCCGCAGACAAGCCCTCTCTCTCACGAGCACTTCCACCTTCTCCCGAAGGGCAGCAGAGGGCAGCTGGCGGTTTTGATTCAGGGCACGTTGGCAGCTTTGGGGCAGCCGAAGGAGCTGGGATGCAGCCGGCCAGCATTTGTGACATGGGTCTGGAGGCCAGGCGGTCCCACGGGCTGTATTGCTAGCCAATGTTTTCTAAGTCTGTTTGTAAGAGTACCTAATTTTAAAATGAAATGTGAATATATATTATGTGTAGGTGCCATGTAAGATAGTGTTGTGCTAGGCAGCAGGATGCTAACCTACTTTTTAAGCTTTTTGGAGGCAGGAAAAAGCATTTTTCTCTCACTTCGTGCTCACAGATCTAATATTGTAAATAGGTTTTTTAAATATTTATTTCATGGGCTTTCCACAGGTTCTCGTTCTGACTGGTGTGTGGTGGGTGGGGCTGCATTGCCCAGCGTGCCGCAACCAAAGGGCTGGCGATTGCGTGGGGGATGGGATGGGGCGGGGTGGGGTGGTGGTGGTGCTGTTCAGTTTGGGTTTTTGTCAGAGCTGAAGCATTAACTCTTCATCTCGTTTTGATGATGTCAGACCTGGTCGATGGCCACGGTCCCCAGGGAGGCTGTGAGCTCCCATGGCCGGCCAGGATGGCTGTTCCCCAGGACAGGGGGCACTGCAAGCAATAAGATTTGTAGTAATAATGTCTGCTGTGATGGCAGGGGCTCTCGGGGCTCAGGGCCAGGTGGGAATAACCCTGCTCCCGGCAGGGGCTCAGTCCAGCATGGCTTGGGGGGGTCTCTGGACCTGGGGCTACTCAAGGAAGTGTCCCCAGGGATGCAGAAAGTGGGGGATGCTGTCACCCCCAAGGAACCCCCAAAACCAGCAGGGTAGGGTAGGTAGTTGCTGGTAGCAAACTCCCACTAGAGAATCACTGCCTTTGTGGGTACGGGTGACCCAAGGGAGCTCACCGCTGTCGCTGCTAGTCCTAGGGCCAGCTCCAGAAGGTCATTTGCTCATTTGCTGATCATTCTGTAATTTTAATTCTCCTTCTAGGAGGTTTGAGGTCATTTGGTAATTTTTGCTTAAGTGGGTTTAGATTTGGTTTTTTTTTCTTTGTTAACCCCTTTTTGCCTGGAAGTGTGGCTGGCTCTGACCTTCCAGTCCAGCTGTCTGTGTGGGGCAGTGTCAGCAGCATCTGCCTTTATGATGATGGGTCTCTGACTTTGGAGGATGGAGTGAGGGGTGCTGCTGGGTTCCAGCCCTGCAGCACCCTTCACCAGTCCCACACTTCCTTTACCCTTGGAACAGGTGTGTAAAAAAAGAAAAACAAAAAAAAAGGAAAAAAGGAAACAACACAGTAATTTTTTTCTTAGGATGTAAAACATTTGAATATTATCTCCACCCTGATGGCAAATGTTTTTCCTTCATCTGTGTCTGCTTCCCTGGGAGAGTTTTGTTTCTCTGTTTGTTTCTATATGAATTTTAGACACTGAGCTGAAATTCCTCCTGTCCGGTACTGTATGTTTGAGCCCAAGCAATGTGAACTGTACAGACCAGCAGTGGGAAGGGGGAGCTGGTGACTGCACCTGGGAGAGCCGTGGCTTGGGACGGCATTCCCAGTTGGTGTAGGAGTGGGAAGTACTGCGCCACAAGTTGGGAAAATGAACTGTCTGCTGTGAATTCTCGGTTGGAAATGTGGAGAGGAGTTTCCATTAGATAATGTTTACATACCTCACCTGACAAACCTTTGAAAGTGTATATATAAAAAAAAAGAAAATAAAATTATATTAAGTTGCTTTAAATCAATATGTATAGCTATAAGAGCTGGGTCATTTGAACTTTGAATATGTATCGATTCTCTAAATGTTGACATTTTGTGAACTCTGTGCTCCTGTCTTTTATTTCATCCTAGCCTATGGAAAAAGTTGTGTTCTTGTTCCAGGTAAAAGGTCCCTGACTCAGATCTGAACTCCTCAAGGATTCCCACCACCTTGTTTTCTTTTCTTCTTCACTGTCAGTATTCACCCTATGAGCTTTCTAAAGGTCCGTATTTTATTGCCGCTTATTAAACGTTTCTTTGATATCAATGTTTGTTTGGTGTGATAAGTGGGGAAGACTGAAGGTGAGTGAGTGCATGAGGTAGGGCACAGCTGCCTTGCACCCTCCAACTGCCACCCCCTTCCTATGGAGGGGGCATATGAATGCCTGTGTGGGGTTTCAGTGCTCCCAAACCGGTGCCTGAGCTGCGGCAGATTTGTGTTTGTGGCACCAACAGTGCAACCTCTTGGTGGTCCTGGGGACAACTTCCCAGGCCCCCTCTACCCTTCCCCAGAGAGCCACAAGTGCCTGTTTCCGCCTGGAGCCATTCCATCCCCACAGCAGGCACTGGCCCTTCAGCTTCCCACGTGCAAGACCCTGGCAGTGATGGATAACCCCGGCTGTCCCTGCACCATGGGGGCAATGCATTGGCCAGGGCTGCTCCAGGAGTAGGAAATCATCCCCCAAGGCACAACCAACTCTTTCCATGCTGTGCCACCTCCTCACACTCTCAGCAGCTCCCAAGCATCAGCTTCTCCCTTCTCCCCAGCAGGAAAGAAGAGGCCAAGCCTCTGAATGAATAAATGTCATGTTCACATGGAAGACAACATAGACAATACCAAACACCTCCTAAAACAATACAGCCTCTGCCAGCGGAAGGATGCCCAGCGCCTCCCTCGCCAGCCTAGTACAAACCAGCGTCTTCAATAGTGACACACACAAACCCCACGGGCCAAACAAAGCCACTGTCATTTTCCTGCCCAGTAGCATCTGTAAACAAAAAGAAAACATCATTTGTTGACCCCAAACATATAAAAATACTATAACAAAATGAAATACAAATATATATTAGAATCTGTAAGTATTCTGTATAAAGAGATACTTTAGCGGTTAGCGTACAGCAAGAACAGAAACACAACACAACCAAGCCCCGGGTGGGCCACAGGCAAAATGAGACACATCCCAGCTCCTCTGTGTGGCAGAGGAGCTCCCATGGAGAGAGCATTTGTGGCAGAAACACATCCCCGTGGTGGTGGAGATGCCCTGGATGCCAGTGGTGAGCAGGGATGGGGACAGCACCTGCAGAGCTGGGTGTATCCAATGGAGGTGCCTGGAGCCCGGGCACAGCTGGCAGTGCAGACCTGAAACCAAAGTGCTGGAGCAGTGAGATGGAGAGACCCAGGACTGCAGCTCTGGGATGAGTCTGTCCACCAGGGTGATGTGGTGTTTCACTGTCCAGCCATGTGCAGTGTCCCAGGTTGGGCCCCCGCTATCCTTAGCCCCCACAGTTGTAGAGGTGATGCTGCTGTGGATGTTGGGTGCCTGCAGTACCCTGGCAGGAGGTCCCAGTGTGCCCCAGCTCCCACACCAGCCCAGCACATGCCCTGGCACTGTGGGCTTTGGAGAGATCCTGGGTATGGGCACTTGAGTCCAAGAGCTGATGGGTCCTGCCCTGGCAGTGGTGTTGGTTCCAGGCTTGCAGGTTTGGACATCTCCAGCCTCTTCAACTTGGCATACACAAGACAGAGGCCTGGTGATGGGCATGGCAAACCTGCATCCCAGCTGTCCCAGTAGCCTCCTGCTCCTGCTGCCTGGGGCAGTGGGACACGGGGGACACCTTCGCCCAGCTGCAGGCCTGCTCCCCTAGGAGAGAGCCTGGACAAAGGGGATTCCTGTGCTGCCCTCACACAGCTCCCACCTCTGAGCACAGCCACCTGGCTGAGCCAGGGGTATGTGGGGCCCTCTCCACAGGAATGGCACAGTCAGTGCTGACCACATGGCACAGGGCAAGTTGGCATGGGAACCCTCAGGGACATCTGTGCACTGCTGCCTGTCCCCCATTCATTGTGCCTGGCATTGCCCTGGTCCTGTTCCACCAGTGTGGACCTGATGACCACAGTGATGTGACCACAATGACCGAGTGTGCCCATGCATTGCAGAGCCCATCCAGTATGCACAGACTGGGGGTGTCACCAGAGGGTCAAGCTGGGGCCACAGAGCTGGGGACATTATCTGGGTACTTTGGGCTGCAGCACCCTGCAGGGAGAGAGACCAGGGCTGCTGGAGGAGTGGACAGGAAACCAGGTCTGGGCTCACCAGGACTGCAGGACACTGGCTACACCATGCAGCCCACTGTAAGCCATGGCTTGCCATAGATCACAAGGCTCTGCCATGGCAGGCCTCCCTCCTCCTGTGACACATGTTGGAAAAGCCCTCAGATCGCTGGGCTGATGCAAGGGACAGGGCTGCCAGGGAGGGGACTCACCCGGGATGCAGGCACTGCCCTCCATGGCCGTGGGGCTTCACTGGCAGGGAGGCAGAGTGCCACAGGGAGAGGTCAGGGCAGCTGGGCAGGGTGCCCACTCCATATCCACGTATCTGTGTAGCTGCAGTTCTTAAAAAAATTCTCTATCTACACATTTGCTTTGTTTGTGGGGTTTTTTTTCTTTTTTTTTTCTTTCTATTTTTTTTTCTGTTTCCTTCCCAATCTTCTAGATGCACCAGCTCTACCCTCTGCTGGGCTCCTCAGATGCAGCTGCAGTTCGGAACACCCAGAGAGCAGCACCATGCCCGCAGTGTAAAGTGAGGTCCTTGGCTCGGGGGGGTCTCCCCGCCAGCCCCCCGGCTCTGCAGGGCCGGTGGCTGCTCACAGGCACTGGCTGCAGCCACACTTGCTGGGCTTCTCCACCTCCTCCACAAAGGTCGCGCCGTTGCTGCATTCAAAGGCGTATTTCCTGCGCCGCAGCCGCAGCCCGGTGCAGCAGCCAGCGTCAGGGCCACCGCAGGTGCCCCGGCATTCCACCCAGGCCACCGGCCGTGTCGTCTGGCAGATGGCATAGCCCCGCTGCACCTGGTGGTAGTCCCGCACCGGCTCCCCGCGGCACTCCGGCTCTGCGGGACAGTGGGACAGCAATGGTCAGCCTGCTGCAGTGGTGTGGGGCTGCCTTCTCTGAACACCCCCCTCCTCAGCACCTACCTTGGTCACAGAGGGCTCCGGTGTAGCCATCGTGGCACTCGCAGGTGGGCTGGCCACCTGGCGTGAGGTGGCAGTGGCCATGGACACAGGGCTGGTGGCGGCAGGGGTCAGGTGGCTCGGCAGGCTGGTTGCAGAGCGCGCCCTGGTAGCCCTCATGGCACTGGCAGCTGTAGGAGAGGGCATCAAGGGGCAGGCACACCCCGTGCACACACCTGTGGGCATACACTGCTGTCAGGACCTGCTGGCGTGGCACCAGCATGCAGACCCCACCAGCACTGAGCATGGCGTGGCTCTGCACCAGCGCTGTACTGCGACTGGTACGGCACCACCTGGTACAGGACAGCCATCCCGGCACAGCACAGGTGTGGCTCTGGCATGGCACCAGCACAGACCAGCCTGACACAACTCAGTGCTAGTGGCACGGCAGGGCACAGTTATGACACGGCACCGCTGTGATGGCACGGGACTGGCACGACAGCACCAGGAAGCAGCCACAGGGCAGGGTGGGCAGCCAGTGGGGTGAGGGCACTCACTTGTGCCCCTGGCAGGGCCCGCCGCGGGGCTGGTCACAGTGGGGCCCGTCCCAGCCAGGCTCGCAGTGGCACACGGGGCCCTGGGCGCCCGAGGGCTGGCAGATGCCGTGCAGGCAGTAGAGCTTGCGGCAGGGCTCGCAGCCCGGCACCACCCCCGGCGTCATCCGCGTCTTGGTGAAGTCCTGCAGCTCGTTGTTGATGTAGAGGTTGCGGATGCATCCGTGGAAGCTGGTGCCATTGAGGAGCTGCCAGAGGCGGAAGGCAGCCGAGTTGACATCCACAGGCATTCCTGGGGAGAGCAGGACCATCAGCGCACCCGGATGCCCCCCATGCCCTCCATCACCTGGTCCCTGTCCTACCTCCTACGTAGAGGGGAGCCTCACTGTTCAGTGTGTAGTGCTTGCCCGAGTTGTCCATGGTCATGGGGCTGCCACCGTCGATGGACAGGTTCACCATCTGGTCGAAGGTCACCAGCTCCACGGTGTGGAACTGCCCGTCGTTGATGGTCTCAGCACTGGCAGGGATGGCTGGGTCACCGAGGATGCCCCCAGGCCAAAGCAATGGGGGTGGACGTCCCCAGTGAGTGGAGAAGGGGTGCCAGGTACCTGTAGATGGCCGAGCTGGGGTGGGTGCCAGGGTCATAGCTGACCCTCACATGGCCCTGGTACAGCTCCACAGCCATGTGGTCGCTGTCACCATTGTACAGCAGGATGCCATTGCCTTCAGCTGTGGAGACCTGCCAGAGAGAGAGGTGGGAGCCCACATCCCTGGGGCAGACCCCCAGTGCCATCCCTCAATGCCCCCACGCCCCCCCAGCCCTCACCTGAAGGGTGATATTGGCCCGGGGCCAGTCTTGCAGGTCAGTGAATTGCAGGTACGTGTCACGGTCCACAAAGTTGACGCTCAGCAGCTTCTCACATTTGGGGCCACCAAAGCCAGGCAGGCACTGGCACAGGGCACGGGCACCCCGCTCCACACACGGGGCCCCGTTCTGGCATTCAGCTCGCTCACAGAGGCCAGGCTGGCCAGCGGTGTGGGGCGGCATCTCGCAGAGCTGGCCACTGTGGGGCCAAGGGTGCTGCTGGGCTGGGGGCTGGGAAAGAGCCCTACACCCTGCCCAATGCCCCACAGGGCTCTGACAGCACACCCCTGATTTGGGTCCCTGGGGAGGCTCTCCCAGACACTGGCAGAGGGATGCCTGAATGCTGAGCTGTGCCCTGGGGTCCCTCCTCAAGGATGCTGGCTCCCCCCAGCCTCCACCCCCAGAGACACACACTCCCAGCTTCACTCCTTCCTCTCACACTGAGGATGGATGGATGGATGGATGGATGGATGGATGGATGGATGGATGGATGGATGGATGGATGGATGGATGGACTTGGTATCCAGGACTTGTCCCTTCTGCACAGTGACACATAACCATGCCCAGTACCCCAGGTGTCCCAGGTGTTCCTGGTGGTACCTGTAGCCCTCGGTGCAGAGGCAGGAGTAGCCATTCACCTCATCCAGGCAGCGGGCGTTGTTCTGGCACCGGTGGTCCTGGCAGTCGTCGAAGTCCTCGCTGCAGTTGCTCCCCACATAGCCAGGTGCACACTCACACCTGGGGCAGGCAGGGGGCTCAAGGCTGCCCCTTCCTTCCCCCTTGCACCAGTGGGTGCCTGCTCCTCCCCTTGTAACCTCCCTTCTCCATGCCCCCTCACTGCAGTCCCCAAAAAGCAAATCTACCCACCCCCAGACAAGCCAGGAAAAGTGGTTTGGAGAGGAGGGGGCTCACCTGGGCCCCTGGCTGGTGGAGATGCAGGTGGAGTCATGCTGGCAGGGGTTGAGCTCATCTGAGCAGAAATTGGGTGGCTGCTCACAGAATTCCCCTGCAAGGCAGAAGAGGGGGTACCCACAGCTCCAGGACCAGAGGAGTAGCCCCAGTCCCCATGGAGCAGAGGGGACCCCTGGGAGACTCAGCTCAAGACAGGGAGCTGCCAAGCCCACAGCTTTGACCCCATGGGCACAGGGTCCTCCTCCCCCGGTGGCAGCTCCTGCCTGACCAGGCACTGAGGGCATCCCAGGGTGTGGGGGGTCAGCTGGGTGTACCCAAACTCAAGACAGCTGAGCCCAGCCAGAGCCCATGGCAATGGGCCTTGAGGCAGCAGGCAGAGGAGCTATTCAGCCCTCATGGGTGGGTAGAATCACTGGGCACATTCCCATGCCAGGTCTGTGCCATTTGGGGATGGCTGGCCCGCATTCCAGGTACCTGTGTAGTGGGCAGGACAAAGGCAGGTGTAGTTGGCGGCACTGGGCACACAAGAGCCCCCATTCTCGCAGCTGTGCTCCTTGCAGGGGTCGCTGGTGGTGTGGCAGCTCGGGCCCTCGAAGCCCACTGGGCACAGGCACCTGCCACAGGGCCAGGGCAGTGTCAAGGAGGAAAATGAAACAGAACTTTTTGGGGTGGCTGCCCCAAAAACAACCAGCACGGGACCTTGGCAAAGAGCTGGGTTTGGTGTCCTCCTGTCAAACACTGGGCACAGGGGTGGGTGGCAGCACAGCCTGCCTGAGGATGCTGTGTTGCCACGACAACAGGCTGAGAGGCCTCTCAGCACAGGGAGGGGCTGCACAGCCCAGCTCCTCACCCCCAGCCTGCCAACTATTTTCAGCTCCTAATTGCAGCCTGATTCCCAGAATGGCCTAAAGCATTCAGAGCAGTGAGGGTTGTGTGAGGGTAAGGCAACCCCACAGGGAGGAGCAGTGACTCCAGGACCACAGCAACCAGTACCAGTCCCAAACCCCTCTAGCTCCCCCTGCCTTGTGTGGTGATGGTACCCTCCTCTCCCCTACTGACCTCCACCTAGGAGCCTTCTGGGCTGGGAGGCAAGGGAAAGTGGAGTCAGACAACACTAGCTGGAGCTCCCATGCAAATGCAATATCCCAGCTAGATGCCCAAGCGAGCATGCAGGAGGTGAAGGAAGTATCAGAACCTCTCTCCATGGGAGGCCAGGGTCCCATGCTACTGCCCAAACACCCACCTTTCTTGGGTTCCTGTCCAGCACTCACCTGAACCCAGCTCCTTCCCCCTCCTGAGGCTGGCAGGTCCCCCCGTTGGCACAGGGGTTGGAGGAGCAGCCACCAAGTGGCACCTCGCAGTCACGGCCCTGGGGAAGGAGGGAAAGGTGGGAGCAAGGAGGTGCCACAGCAGCTGCCCAGCTCTGCCCATCCTGCTCAGCTGGGTGCTGTGGCACACAGGGAGGGTAGGTGGTCCCACAGGCAGCAAGCCCCAGGGGCATGGCAGAGGCTCTGCTCCCCTGCCCTCGGCAGGGACATGTCCCCATGCACTGGGGACCCCTGGGAGCAGGGTACCTTGTAGCCACTGGGACAGGCACAGCGGTAGGAGCCAAGGGGGTCATTGTGGCAGGTGCCCTGGTTCTGACAGGGGCTGGAGAGGCAGGGGTTGCACTTGGCCTGGATGCTCAGGGGAGGTGGGCCTGTAGGAGGGGAGGCACAGAGATGACCATCAGTGTGAGGAGTGATCAGAACATGTCCTTTTGTGGGCACCAGTGGGGGGACAGAGCCTCTGGTGTTGCTGGGAGCAGAGCCTGTACAAGGGGCTTTGCACCAAGCAAACGGACAGCCACAGGTTTGCTCAGTCACCAGGGAAGTGCCACCAGTCAGGTAAGAGGATGGAAGCAACCTGGTCCCCCTCCTCCACAAGGCAACTCAACAGCTGAAATCTTGGAGCCACCCAGACTCACAAAGCATTGCTCTGCTGGGTGCCCATGGGAGGGTATGGAGAGACAGCATGGGCACCTCTCACCTTGGCACTCAAATTTCTTGGCAGGGGTGGTGAGCAGCAGCTTCCCTTCCATGTCGGGGGGCCCAGCACAGCGGGCAATGCCAGGCTCCTTGTAGCCCGTCTTGACCCAGCTGGAGAGCCAGCGCAGGTTGCAGCTGCAGTACAGGGGGTTGGCCCCGATGGCTCTGCACGAGGAGAGGGGCAAAATTGCACCTGGTGCCACACAGAGGGAACTGGGCACAATTCTCACTTGACTGGGCTGCCACATGACTGGCAAACCAGCGCTCCTCCATCTCTGGATGCACCAGAAGTGCTGCCCACAGTGGGAGGACTGGGACACATACAGCCCCACAATGCTGTCCAGTTAGACCACTCTGCTGCCAGACCCACACCCCATGCAGTGCTCCGTGCTCTGCCCTGGGGCTCTCTATTGCCCACAAAAAAATTCTTGGCCCTCTCCAGTCCCTCTCCAGTACACAGGCAAAGCTGCCTGGGGCCAGCAAACTGGGCTAAGTATCCTGAGGCCATGCAGAAACAACAGAGCCTGCATGGGAGCTGCAGGGTCAGCCTGGGCTCTGCTGCACAAGCCTGCAGGACAGAGACACAAGAGTGGGCTGGTGGGAATGCGCAATGGGTCATGGCCAGAGTTTGTGCAGACAACACTGAGGGAAAGCAAGGAACTGCTCTGGGAAAGGAGAAGGAGGATGGAGGATTGCTCTGCACCACAGCAGAGAAGGGTACAGAAGCAGTGGATGATGTGGCAGGTGGAGGGCCTGGATGTCTCTTTGAACCCTCCTTGACTGCAAGGGTCAGCAGTGATGGAGGGCCGGTGTTACAAACATATGTGACAAAAGAAGGAGGTGGCAGCCCAGAGGTGAGGCAGCAGGGACAGCAGATCTGCTGGGACTAACCTGGTCCTACAGTACCCACAGCACCAGCTGTGACACAGCTCAGCCTGTGGGAACTGGCAGTACCAGCTGTCTGCAGTGAAGGCAGCACAGCCAAGGGAAATTGGAGCAGAGCAAGCAGTGTTTGTCCCCAAAAAACAAGGAGGCTATGACTGGGGATCAAACTGCTCTTTGCAGAGTGAAGGAACAGCCTGAGATGCCCAGGATGCCAGGAGCAGGCAGATGGGAACAGCTTAGTTAAGAGACAGGGAGGGAACTAAAAAGACACTGTGAGCAAAGTTAAACCCTGGCCCTGGGTGGTGGGTACAGGGCAGAGCTCCTGGGGTGCAGACCCACTCAAAGAGAGGCTGAAACACCACCACTGGCAGGAGAATACCTGATGCTAACAACACACTGGTGTGTGTCAGAGCAGCCCCTGCCAACCCACAGCTGTGAGACTACTTTGCATGGCTTTACCTACATTCTGGGGGACCCCAGAGATCTTGTGGGTTGGGGAAGAACCACACCACATCCACCTAAGACCACAGGGACATCCCAGCAGCACTGGGAGACGCAGCTGCACACCTGGATCTGAGCATGGGCAGCAGGTCACAGCACTATCCAAGAAATCATGTTGCAGGTACCAGCCCAGAGAAGAGGCAAGAAGGCAGCTCACCCCCCAGGGAAGCCAAGCTCAGCCCTGTAGTTTTTAAAGATCTATGGAGCCTGCATCCAGCCCTGAGCCCTGAGGAGTGGGAGGAGATACTCACAGGTGGGACAGGGAGGTGACATCTGCAAAGATGCCCTCAGGGAGGCTGGAAATGTCGTTGCCATGGAGGGACCTGCAGAGAACAGAAGGTCCTGCAATGCCCAGGGCTCCAAGGAGGGCAGCAAGGACTGTGGCCCCACCACATTGTCACTGTTGCAAATGCACCATCTGCTCTGAGAGCAGATGAACCTTCCTGTGCTCGCCCTGCCCACTTGCATGCACCCAGCTCCAGGTGGGCACAGGGGACACAGGGACATGGGCAGCAGCAGGGAGGGGCCCAGCAGGGCTGTGGGCTGAGGTCAGGTACTCACAGCAGCCGCAGGGAGCGGAGGCCCTCGAAGGCCAGCGGAGGGATGCACTGCAGGGAGTTGTAGCTGAGGATCCTGTGGGAGGGAAGCAGGCAGCACAGCCATGTGTGGTGTAAGAAACACGCCCTGGGCTACACATTGCCCCTGCTGAGCTCCATCTCAAAGCACAGCTTCACCCAGGCAGAGGGTGAAGGAGACCGTGGTGTCCCCAGCACCCCCCAGTCTTCAGAGTCCCCTAAAACAGCCCACACAACTCAGCTGGGCTGCGGCCCTGTGTGGCACTGCAGGACCTCACTTACAGGGTGGTGAGCTGGCTCATGTTGGTGAAGGAGGAGTTGCTCAAGGAGCTGATCTTGTTGTTGCTCAGATCACTGGAAAACAGAAACCCCAGGGCTTGGAGCCAGCAGGGCCCTGCCCCCTCCTACTGCTCCCCAGCCTGCTCAGCTGCAATGGGGTGCAAACAGCAGCAGGGCTGTCACACAGGGTGATGGCAGCAATGCCGCTTGTCCCCCCTCTGTTCCATGCCTGGCACCAGGTGGTGACCAGCCAGAGGCTGAGCATTGCTGCCAGTCAGTTGTGTTCCAGAGCAGAGGGGGGACACAGAGGGATGTCAGGGGTCCCCACACACTGCCAGACCCCTCCTCAGGATCACACACCATGGAGACAGCCCCTGCCCTCACCCACAAGTTCCAGCAGTGCCTCCAGCTACCTGGGCTCCTGCTCCTGGCTACTTACACAAGCTGCAGATACTTGAAGGTGGAGAGCTGCCCTGGGACCTGAGTGAACTGGTTTCCATCCAGGTAGCTGCAAGGGAGAACAAAAGCACCTCGGGGTGACTGAGAAGCAGGAGATCCCTCCCTCTTCCCCCTCCTTCTCCTGTGACCACCACAAACTTCAGGCTGCAAGAAGCATCTCCAGCATGACCTCCCTCCTGCACCCAGGGCCCAAGGGGCTCTGAGGGGACTCCTGGGCTGGCAGGGGAGCTGGTGTGTCAGTGTAAGAGCACACCTGGGTTTGCAGGCATGTCCCTGGGGACACACTCCCAGCAGCCCACGTGTGCAAGCACAGCCAGTGCTGCATTTACACATCCGATGGGAGCGTGGGAGGCTGTAATGCTCCCAAGGCATGTGTGAGAACGTGAGAGATGGAGCAGGATGCAGAGAGAGGAGGAGTGTGCAAGACAGTGGAGGGGGCTGCGGGGGTGCTGTGCATATATATGTGTGCCCAACCAGTGCCTGCACCCCCTGCACACAGGACTTGCTGCCATCCCTCATCCCACATGGGCACAGAGCCCCTTTCACAGCAGTGGGCATCATGGACCCTGCACATCCAGCTCTGGCACGCACATCTGAGCTTCTGGGCTGCATGGGGACCACAGCTGCAGGGGGTTGTCCCTCACTGTCCCCTCCCGAGGGCCAAAGACAAGAGTCTCAGCTGCTGCGTGACAACACCTCTTGCACAATACCCTTGACTGCCCCAAATCGTCAGAGAGACTCTTGCTGAGCCACTTGCTGGTGTTGGGGCTGGACAGGATACCTTGGATGGGTCAGGTCCTACCCCCACTACCAGGCCAGGATGGGGGTGTGAGGAGGAGCCCAGGAGTCTCTGCCCTGCAACCCCACAGCAGAGGCCCCTTGCCCAGAGCTGTAAAGTTGATGGAGTGTTAGAGGGAGAGCTTGGGTACTTGCCCACTACTCACAGCTCTGTGACATTCTTGGGGATCCCCTTGGGCAGGGCCTTGAGGTGCTTGTTGCTGCAGCGGACAACCGTGTCGAGGCAGGTGCATTCCTGTGGGCACTGTGGCCGGGGGATGCAGGTGGTCTCCTCCTTACCTGCACCAGGCATGGAAAGCCACAAAGTCACCTGGGTCCAGCCCTTGGGTATTGTGTGAGGCCAGATTCAAAGCCTTGTGCCAGCCTAGGATGGCTCCCCTCCCATGCCAACCATCCTACTCCACCCCCAAAGCAGGGTGTTGCAGGCAATATCAGTCAGGAATTAGCAGTGCAGGAATTACTCCTGCACCCAGAAATCACCTACCCCACTGGTGTGGATACGACCAGCCAGCTCAAGGCTGCTCAAATTTTCACCATTTTCATGCAAAATGCAGTCCCAGGTACAACACAGATAAGGGCACAGAAGAAGGGGCTCAGCCCTGCAAATCCTCCTGAAACATCCTCCTTCACCCATGTCCCAGACACAGGTTAGATGGAGCCTATGCTGAGCAGCCAGAGCAGCTGGCATTGCTCCCCTTCCCTGCCGTGATGCTGGAATCCTGCAGGAAAGGCACTCCTGGGACAACCGTATGCTATCTCGCACTGCTAGGAAAGGCGCAGGATGCAACCCTTCAGTCTTTGACGGGGTGGAGGAGGGAAAGCAGAAGAAAGGATGGTTTGTTTGTAAATATTTTCCAGAGGGCTCAAAAGCTGTTCTAAATTTAAAAAATATATATATAAAAAGAGGTTTTTCTCCCCACGCACATTCCCTGTCTGCTCCATCTGCCCACCCCCAGCTCCGGTGCATGTGCAAGGCTGAGAAGGGAAGGAGCAGGATGAATCCCAGCGGGCTTTGCCTACACCTCTGCTTCTGTCAGCACCCAGGGCACAGTGTTTGCCAGCATGTATATGACCCACCTACATATAAAAGCCTCAAGGTGCAGCGGGTGCAAACTCCTCTTCTGGCTTCAGAGTGGATATTTGAATGCCCAAGGGCTGAGTACCAGGAAGGGAAACTCTTGTATCATTACGGGAGGGCATTCGGCCCCCTGAGTGACTGCCTTGCCACAGGCACATCCTGGCAGCAAGGATGGTGCTGGGACAAGGAGCATGGTGTCATCCTGGGAGGAGCAACCTCATCTCCCCTTCATCCCTGGTGCTGCAGGCCCATGAGTTACCTTCCTCACACCTGAAGTCAGGGAAAGCCACATCCTGGAGCGGGATCTGCCGGAGGAAGTCAGGGTTTTGGCACCGAGGGTTCCCTGTCACGATCTTCCTCTTGCGCAGCCAGTCCCCCAGCCAGGCCAGCTGGCAGTTGCAGTTGAAGGGGTTGGCGAGCAGGTTCCTGCACACGGGAGAGAGCACAAGGGCAGCACCTGAACAGCCACCAGGCAAGGGCACCTGCAGCAACGTGCACAGGCTAGGGGCATCCCCTGGGGCCCGGGACATACAATGTGGAGAGGGACTGCAGTGTGTCAAAGGCTCCTGGTGCAATTGTGCTGATCTGGTTGTCATACAGGGAGAGCAGGCGGACGTTGCGCAGCCCTGTGAAGCTGTCATTGTGGATGCAGCTGATGCGGTTGTTCCTCAGCATCCTGCAGAGGGAAGAGAACAAGGGCACCTACAACACAGGCAGGCACCACGGGGGAAACCCACCTTAGCAGTGCTCAGGCTGTGCCCACCTCAGTGCTGGGCAGCAGAATGAGCCTGAGCAAGTCCCTGAGGAGCAAAAACCTGCCCCACCCAGCACTGGATGCAGCCAGCTGGTGGGCAAGGCATCCTGGGCTGGCCCTGCAAGGAGGCAAGGAGTAAGAATGTCCCCATCTGGGTGCTCATGGAGGAGAAGGGACTCACAGTGTCCTCAGCCCGTCCAGGCCCCTGAACATGCCACTGCGCACAGACTCCAGCTGGTTGACAGTGAGGTGCAGCTCATTGACAGAGGATGCCCCCTCAAATGCCCCATCCTCGATCTCTGACACCTTGTTGTTGCTGAGGTTGCTGTGAAGAGGGAAAAGCAGGCTGGGATGAGGGCTCTGCCTTGAGCTCATCCTGAACTCTGCCTCCCCCAGATCCCACTAAGCACCCCCTGATGCCAGTTGTTCAGAGGACTCTCAGGCTGGGACATGTCCTCCATCTCATGCCCCAGTCTGCCCTGGCATCAGGACCCCATGTGCCTTCCCAGCCCTCGGCACTCCTGACATGGCTGTGCCTCCCCAATACTCACATTTTCTTCAGATGTGGGAGTTTCTTGAAAATGCCAGTGGCCTCCAGGATGGAGATCTCATTGTTGTTCAGGCGCCTGGAGTGGGCAGCAGGGAAAAGAGCTCAGGAAATGCCTGCGAAGTACCTGGTACAGCCCAAACCCTGAGCCAAACCCCAGCGCCAGAAAGGTGCCTGCTGCAGGAAGGAAAGCAGAGTGAGAGAGGAGACTCTTACAGCTCCGCTGTGGACTGTGGGATGCGATCTGGGATCTTGGTGAGTTTCAGGTTGGAGCACTCGACCACACCAGATTCACAGCGGCATTTTGGGGGGCAGATCACGTCACTGTTGCATTCACTGTTCAGCTGGTAATCCTCTGTCCCTGTGTGATGGTGAAGGCAGCGTGGGCTCCCACAGGCAGAGGTACAGGGGACTGTGCCTCCCTCCTCTCCCTCTGATCCTCCCACATGCCCACCTGGTCTCATTTTCCTCCCTAGCTCCCTTCATTCCAGCCCTTGTGCACATATTAGTTTTCTCCATGCCCAAAGAAGCTTATCTACAAGGATATTTTTCCTGGGTACACGGGGCACTGCCCTGCCCACCACCCTCCTCCAAACAAAACTGGACCCTGGGGACACTTCTGCGCCCATCCAGGTAACGGCAGGATGGGAGATGCCACAACACATCCTGGTACCCAGTGGGAAATGAAGTATGGTTCTGCTGGGGCAGGCCACGGGTCTGTGGCACAACACCCCCGCAGTCAGCCTGGCTAAAAGGGCACCATGCACACACCCATGCACATGTGTGCAGCTCCTCTGCTCACCTGGGATGAAATACTGCTCTTTGGCTGAGGGAAAAAAAACAACACATCAGCCCTCTGAGCACACAGACACCAGGCTGGGACAGGGCTGGGGACAGCTGTGCTGCAGGATGCCTGCGACAGGGCTGGGGACAGCTCTCACCTGAGCAGCGGAACTTCTTGCTCTTGATCTGGCCGATGCGCTTGTTGGCCAAGCGCCGGGGGCTGGCACAGCGGGCTCCACTGGTCTCCACGGGGTTGGCACGCAGGAAATCTGCCAGCCACTTCAGGTTGCAGTCACAGATGAAAGGGTTCTGGGCCAGGTGCCTGTGCCAGGGACAGCGGGTGACACACCACCAGGAGCAGTGGGTGACACACTGCCAGGAGCAGGGGGTGATCAGCAGCTCCAGCCCTAGAGATGCTTTTCCCCCAGAGGCTCTCCTGCCCAGCCACGGGAGCTGGAGTGAACACTCACAGAGTCTGGATGGCCCGCAGGGAGGTGAACGTGCCTTTGGCCAGGCTCTGGATCTTGTTGTCATACAGTGAGAGCAGTGAGAGGTTCTGCAGATCCTGGAAGGCATCAGCCCGTACACAGTTGATCTTGTTGGCATTGAGAAGCCTGGCAGGGAGGGAGGGATGTGAGTCTGGGGACACCCCTTCACTGCACCATGGGTACTAGGGACCTCAGTCCTGCTTCCCTGTGTCCCTGAAAAGCATCCCACACAGCCATTGGTGCCTTACAGCAGCTGCAGGGCAAAAAGTCCTCCAAAGACACCCTTAGGGAGGTCCGTGATCTTGTTGCCATACAGCACCCTGGGAAAGAAAGGCTGGTGTGAGAGAGATGGAGGGAGTGGTGTGGGCCATGGTTAAGGGGTACAGCATCCACCCCATCCCACCCACACCAGTGTAGACACTTACAGGGAGTTCAGTGAGCGCAGCCCCTGGAAGGCGTCAGGGGCGATCTCCGAGATCTGGTTGTTGCTCAGGTCTCTGAAACCCAAAGGGAGAAGGTGGCCTGGTCCCCTCTTCTCTTGTCCCATGTCCTCATCCTTCTGCTTGTTCCAGTGGACCACCCCCAAGACCCAATATACAGAGCTGGGGTTATCCAAGACCCCCTCCCAGTGCTGCCATATGGGGCACCCGTGTCACAACAGGCGCCCCACGTCTGTCAGCTCTCAGCAGTGGCCAGCAGGGTGAAGGGTGCTGGGGTTCAGGGTGAGCTGGCACAGGCTGCACACTTACATCCTCCGCAGCTTCTTGTAGGGTGAGAAGGCTCCTGGGGGGATGGACTTGATGCCGTTGAGTTCCAGGCGTCTGCAAAGAGAATAGGGAGACATGAGGGCTCTAGGGCTTGGCAAACCCCAGAACCCCACTGACAGAGCTGGGCCTGCAGGACTCCTAAGGTTGCAGTAAGTTACCCCACAGGAGTGGAAATATTCTGCCCAGAGATAACTTGCATCCTGTGGCTGGGGCTTTCTCCATCAGGGAAAGGTGCCATGGGTGGGGAAACCATGGTGGCTGGGGTGGAGGAAGCACCTCTCCTCCCCAGCACCTTGGGTTTGGGGGTGCCTGCTGCCTCCCACATGCTTTCTGCACTGTCCCAGCAGGGGCTCTGCACCATAATTGGATTCCTCTAAGGAGATTATTTCTCTATTTACATTTTTAATGCAGCTAAATCCAGGGCTAAATCTGGGCAGAGGGAGAGAAGGGCAAGGAAGGCCTGCTAGCCTACGGAGTGGCTGAGCTGCAGGGATTGCTCCTGTGTTCCCAGTGCCTTGAGCCACCCAGAGCCCGGTGGTGATGGTGTGGGGTCATACTCACATCTCTGTCATGGTCTCGGGCAGGTTGGCGGGGATGGCCGTCAGCCCCTTGCCCCGGCAGTCCACAATGCCATTGCTGCAAGTGCACATGGCTGGGCAGGAGCCGGAGGACAAGCTGCAGAGCTGGGCATGTGCTGAGTCCGTTTGTCCTGCCAGGGAAGCAGCCAGCATTGGAATTGCAAAAAGCTGAGCCAGGCCAGTATGTGGCAGCAGCCTGAAGAAGGGATCCTGTGACAGCTCAGTATACAGGGACAGTTCATGGCACCCCTGAGTGGGTGCATAAGATCTTGGTGCACCCCAACCCCCTGCAAAAGCTCCAAAGGCACAGACTGATGTACTGTCACATGGATAGGGTGGCATTGTCCCCATATTGTCCCTTCACCAAGGACTGCGCTGACCTGAGATGAACCCACAACATGTGTTCTGAGGCTCTGAGCTGAGGCACATGGCAGGGAGTGGAGATGGGCTGCATTGGTGGCAGAAGCCTTGTCCCCCTGGCCCATGTCCCTGCCCTGGCACCCACCACCTCCTCTGCCCCCTCACCGGAGCAGCTGAACTCGTTCTTTTGGATCTCAGCCACGTTGAGGCCGCGAAGCTGGGCGGGAGCAGCACACTGGGTGAAGAGCCCGATGGTGGGGCGCTGGCGCAGCCACTGTGACAGCCAGGCCAGGTGGCAGTCGCAGAAGAGATGGTTGGAATGCAGGCGGCTGCGGGCAGATGGATGGAGCTGTCAGCAGACACAGGACAGCTCCTGCTCACCCCATTGCCCTCTGGATGCCCCAGCCTGGCTCGTCCCAAAGGCTGGGAGGATTCAGAGGGAGATACAGAGGGGCCAAAGAGCATCTGTGACAGTTGCCAAGGCCACCTTGTTTGGCAGTACTTGGGGATGCTCTGCAGGGGTGTCCCCTCCGTTCCCTCACCATGGTGCTGTCCCAGCACTATTGAGACACCAGCACCAGCAGCAGAGCTGGGGACATCCCACTCTAGCCTAGGAGGCCACTCCCACCACCACCACGGCCCTGGCACTCACAATGTCCGCAACTTGGGCATGTGGTTGAAGCTGGACACAGGAATTGAAGTGATATTGTTGTTATTCAGAGTCCTGCAGGAAGACAAAGAAGGGCAAACAGGCAAAGAAAGTCAGGGCAGACAGGCTGTAAATAGGCACGTGAGATGGTCTAGGTGTCACTAATCCCTGGGAGCAACCTAGCACAGGGTGAATGGATGGAGAACTACAGGCTGGGGACAGCCCAAACCCCCAGCAGGACTTGCTGTCCTTCCCAGGCATCTCCTCTCCACAGCCAGTGGCACCCAGGTGGCCCTCAGGGGCAGGATCAAGCCCTGGAGCACAGCTCTGCAGCAGTTGTACCAAAACCCTGGTCAGCCCCTGCTCATGCCCAGGGAGAGATGGCATGCTGGGGATGTCCCTGCAGCACCTCAGTGAGGGGGGACACTCAAGGACACCCTCATCCTGCATGGGGTTGCAGACTGGAGGCTCCAGCCTTGTCCCCAGTCACTTACAGGACCTCCAGCCCCCGCAGGGCACGGAAAGCCCCATCCTCGATGCAGCTGATCTGGTTCTTGTCCAGTTGCCTGCAGGAGAAAGGGAAAAAAAGGGAGAATTGTTGGGACAGCCCAGGCAGGGAGCAATCAGTGCTCCTGATCTTCTGCTGCCTGCTGCCACTGGACATGACCCCAAACTCCCGCATGCCCAACACTGCCAGGACTCACAGGTTCTTGAGGTCGGTGGCCCCACGGAATGCTTTCCTGGGGATGGCCTGGATGAGGTTCTCACTCAGGTCCCTGCAGAAGAAAGAGGCAGGAAGGCAAATGGGCAGTGCCTGCAAAGTGTGATGTCCCGTGGGAGCAGGGCATCCACAGGCAGGGGCACGCCCTGGCACTAAGTGATCCCTCGGGGACTCTGACAAACTAATTTGGCTGAGGTCCTTGGCTGACCACTGTTCTGCTGGCTGTCCTGAGGCAAGTCTGACTCCATCCATGGTGGCTCAAAGTAACTGGGCCTCCCTGGGCACTGCAGTCCCTGGCTCTGACAAGCAGAGCTGACTGGCACAGCTCCGGGAAAACCCTCCATACTTAAATGCTCTCTGACTGCTATAATTACAGGTCCCTGCTGATTAACTGGTAATTACACTTAGTGGCTCCAGGAGGCATTCCCATGGAGCCTGACCTGCACTTCAGAGGGTACAAATAATCGGGTCATTATTTACTTCATCACTGTAGGGTACTGTCTGTGTAATCACCTGCTCTGTAATGCCAGGGCATGCCAAGCCAGCAAGGGCTCTGTGTTGCAGGGCTGGCAGCAGGTCAGATCCCCTATCATGCCTGGGCTGGCTTTTAAAGACTATGAAGACCACAAATCTCACTGCAAGCAGGGTCTGGGTAGACTGACTCAGCTGTGGGAAGACCTGATTGTTTTATTTATTCTCCATGGCTCCCAAATAGCCATTCCCTCTCCCACCCTCTAATAGTGAGCAGCTCCTCTGAAATTGGCTGGCAACTGCATTGCCTGCTCCCATCCTGGGGTGCCAGCATAGTCCTGCTCCAGCCACCCCTGGGGCAGGAGGTCAAGTTCCCATCTCCTTCCTGGCAGAGGCAAACTGAGGCACAACATAGCATTTTTCCTATACAAGTCCATGGATGAGTGAGGAGGAGGACCAGGGTATCCCACACAGATTAAATGTCCCCAGAATTACACAGGCCACACAGACACCTCATCCCCAGCCCCAAGAGGTGATTTAGGGTGTCCATAGATATCAGCACTTCACACATAGTGCTCACCAGCTCTCCTTCAACATAACAAAGCCTGTTTGCTATTGATATTCCACAGCTGGACTGGGTCAGGATGGAGGCACAGCATCCAATTTCCTCCCCATGCCCTCATTTCCTCCAAAAAGTGGGCTCAACAAATGGGCACAAGCTGCTTGCAAAACACCAGGAGGTCTCCAAATTGGGACTTCACCGCAGCTGAAAGCTTCACTAACACAATGAGAAAATGTCCCCAGAGGGAAGCACCAGCATTACGTGCACAGCTGCATGAGGAAAAGGAAAATGAAAGGACAGTGGGCTTGCCTAGCCCTCCAGTGGGATGCCTCACCACCAAGGAGATGCTATACAGTCCAGTGTGATGCACCAGCCCCTGCCCCCGCACAGTTCATACATCACTCTGGGTCACTCCTGGGAAACAAACCCGGCTGGCAAAGCATCATTGCCGGAGCAGTGGAAGGGAGATGTCGCCCCAGGAACTGCCCAGGCTTCTGGAGAAGGACAAGCCCAGCTCCTCTGCGAGCAGCAGGCGCAGTTTCGCAGCAACCCACGTGGCGGCACTGCCAGGCTGCCCTGCTGTTCGTGCTGCCTGCGCCGCCTGCCCTGACTGTGCCGGCTATTCCCAGAACTCCGCCCGACCCGCCCACGGGGGATCAGGGTCCCTCACCCTCTCCAAAGGGAAAGAACCGGATACCTGCAGCAGCCTCCAATTGTCCAGCACTCCTTCAAATACAAACATCTTCTCCTCATACTATGCTGGGGATGTGATGAGTCTGGGGACCCCGAGGAATTGCACTGACTTTTCAGAAAAAGACAGCATTGCACCAATTCCTCTTTTCTCTTTTAGCTCCCACAAGGAATCCCTTAGAAAACTCTTAGGAAAAGATAGCAACTTTTTTACATGGGCAGACAGTGATAGGGGAAACAGTTTTAAACTAAAAGAGCACAGTTTTAAATTAGATGTAAGGAAGAAATTCTTTACTGTGAGGATAGCAAGCCACTGGAACAGGTTGTCCAAAGAACTTGTGGATACCCCATCCCTGGAAGTGTTCAAGGCTAGTCTGGATGGGGCACTGAGCAACCTAATCCAGTGGGTGCGATCCCTGCCCATGGCCAAGGGTTTGAACTAGATGATCTTCAAGTTCTCTTCCAACCCAAACCATACTCTGATTCTATGAACCCTCCAGGTGCATTTCATCAATCTTTCTAGCAAAGCACTCAGTGCACCGCGTTCCTTCTTGGCAGCTGCCTGTCCTCCAGCATTAAACCATCACAGAGGTGAGCACCACACTTCAGTGCTCTGCACCCCTCTCCCAGGGGTGCAGGTCCTGTCTGTGACTTGTCTGGCTCCCCCATGGAAAGCTCGCTCCCATTTCTCTGCTTGGAGCTCATGGGAGTCCCAGTGTGCCCAGGGAGCAAACCCAAGCGTCTGTCTCCAAGCTGCTCATTTGCAGCTTGCGACGGAAATGCTGCTAGAAGGTTGCAACTGACTTTGCGAGGCTTCTCCCCTTCACAGCTTTTTGTGACAGTCCCTGATGAAGTGCTGCCGTGGGGGGTACCGAAGCCAAGAGGGACAGACGCTGGATGGGAGGGTTTCAGCAAGGCCCCGGCACCAGGCTTAGATTACATTGCACAATTACACAGCTGACGACACCAGGACAAACACATGCTTTGCCTGTGGAATCCTCAGGCCCCGGCGTTGGAACAAGGCACGGCCCCTTCCCTCCTGGTGTTTCATAGCTCCCAGCTATGTTTGCTTTACACGTTGGCGCAGAAGAAACAGCAGATGGCACGGCTTCTCCTCGCCCCGCTGTGCCGCTCGCAGCACCCACGGCGGCTGCACTGGTGCCACCTCATGCCCCACTTGAATACAAGAGTGTCACTGCCATGGCACGTGGAGCACCAGCTTGCAGTGCTGACCACAGGCACTGGCAGGTCTGACAGGCCTGCCGGGGACCAGCTGATGGATAGGCACAGAGAAGGGGGAGTTGTCACAGTCACCCTCACTGCCTCTTCTGGTTTCACTTCCAGGTATTGTCCTCAAACTCCAAGTTAAAGAGTTCCTGGCTGTTGAATCCAGGTGTTTACCAAACAGCCAGCCCATTCACAGTGCTTGTCCTTGCACAGCACAAGGTACAGAGGGCTATGGTAGTCCCAGGGGCGCAAAGGGAAAGTATAACAGGGGGTGAGGACATGATGGAGGACACCTCTGTCACTACACTCACCTCCCACATGGATCTGACCCAGCAGATGCCTGTACAACAGCAGCAGCCAGCACCAACCCATAGCTGTGTGATGGCAAGAAGGCAGGCACCCACTTTTCTTCCAAGTCCCCCAAAAGCCTCATGGCCAGCCGATATCCACACAAGTGCTCCCTGCCGGGCAGTGAGGTGGATGGCGGCAGTCAGGGATCGCGATTTCAGGAGCTTCCCTGCTCACATCTTACACCCGGCTGCTCTGCCCCATTGTGTGTGTGACGGCTGTCAGACACTCGCGGTACCCCTAGCGAGGCAGGAGGTGTCCCGGCGCTGCCTCTCCTGGCAGCCAGAGCCCCATCGCACCGCCCCGGTTCCCGGGGAGCCTCGGCGAGGAGCCAGGCGCGGGCGCGGCCCCGCGGGGCTGGCAGGGCCTCGGCGGCGGGAGCCAACCCCCCAGCGCGACGCCCTGCCCGGCGCTTAGCGGGGCGCCCGAGCAAAACTGTTCGACATGGCTTCCCAGTGGGGAGCCCACTCAGGCAAACAAACCCCGGCAGCCTTAATCTCCCCGGCAAGAGCCCGCCGGGCCGCAGGGCGGGCGAGAGGGAGGGGGCCGCGGAGGGGCTGCGGCGGCCGGGCAAGGAGGCCGGAGCTATTACCACGCTCTCATTCTTTGGCTAATCCTGACTTCACACTTTAACCTGATTGAGCCTTGTTTGGCGAGCCGGCTCCTTGCGCGCCGTGTGAGGGGATTAGGGCCGGACGCAGCGGGGCGATAATTGCTTCCAGCGGCGCTGGCCCCGCGTCCGCCGAGCTCCCCGCTGCCAAGAGCGCCGGGGCGGCCTGGCAGCCTCCGGCGAGGCGCGGCCCTCGCCAGGCGGCCCGGCTTGGCAGCGCCGCTGGGCTGGCTCCACTGCTGGTGAACAGGTCCAGCCTGCCCGGCGGTAGCAGCCACGCGGGCACCTTGTCCGGGCCAAGGCTGCAGCCCGTGTCATGTCCCAGGCACAGCGGCGAGGGCTGCGGGCCACGCTGTGCCAGGTGACTGACTTTCCACCCTGGCAGTGCCAGCATGCCAACTCCAGGCAGGTGAAGTGCAGGGGGCTGCTCCTCTCTTTACCTTGTTTCCTCCCCAGCACCCATGCTGGAAACTCATTATGAGGGCTTCAGCCTCTGCCAACCCACAGCTCCCACAATGAAAATGCACGACACTGCATGCCCCTGGCTCACATACCAAGCACTGCTGCAGCAGCTCCGCTCCACCAGTGCTGACACCAATCACTGCGGGCACCAGCTCAGCCACAGCAACCATCCACCAAGCCTCAAGCAGACAAGGCAACCAAAGCCACCAGCCCTGCAGAGCATCGTGTTTCATGCTGGAGCAAGTGCTCCCTGGATCCCAGCCTCACCTCATTGGTGCCATGCCAGAGGCAGCTGTGCCAGAGCACAAACAGCATTTCCCCAGCAAGGACTGTGGCACCTGCAGCTATTAAGCAACCTGGTGTCCCTCACATCACCCTGCACATGCTGTCTGTCCCAGCACAGCCTGTCCAGGGGAGAGGGATGAGCAGAGACAGGGCTGACAGCTGTTCACACCACCACCTTCACTGCCTGACAGGTGACAAGGGGTGAGCTGAAGGGACAGTAAGACTCCTGCATTACAAAAAATCAATAGACTAATCAGCACTTGCATTAGTAGAACAGCCCAGAGTCTCCCAAGGGTTCTGCACTCCCTGTTGCCACTTCAGGGCAGGAGCTGCTGCACCCACTGCTTGCGTCAGCATCAGCACCTGCAGCCCTGTGCTGGGGGAAGTGTCACCCACATGT